AAAATGGTTAAGTGCTATACTTGCAAATCTTCTGTTAGTTTAAGATTGTTTTAAAATAAAAAAAGAAATAACTACTACAAAAAGAATACATTAAAATCAAACAAAACCTAAAATCTAAATTTAAATGTTTCAGGTGAACATCTGCAATTTTAGAAAAGCTTATTATTAAAGTTCTTCCTGTTAAACTGGCCTTGTATTATGTAAAATTGCAAGTAGAAAATATACCTTTATACAGAAATAATTGTGGATTTAATTCAAGAGCAATAGTGTCTGGATGGATAGGAATGGTAAAAAATAAATACAGGAAATGCTAACATCTTCCCCGAAAAAAAAACAATACAGGCAGGAAATGAGTGTTAGGTACAAATACCATTCTGGGGATAGAATGTGTTGCAGCAGAAATAACGATTTGAAACTGGGTTTGTGGTGTGGGAGAAAGGGATTAATATACAGAACTATTACAGATGAAAACACAGAAACCACAAAGACATTGAGAAGGCAAACTGTTATTTCTAGATAAAGAGAGTGGCCACTGGAGATAGAATGAAAAAAAACGTAAAAATGCAATCAGTGTTTGGGAGGAAACATAAGCAGGTGATTGCTGAGGGCGTACTTTCTGCTTCGATCCAAATTAGACTCAAGGGTTATCAAAGACCAACTGAGAGCCCAAACAATAAGGTCAAAGGAAAGCAGTGAAGTGCAAAACAAAGCTGGCAAAATAGTCTGGTGAAATAATATTTTATGTCTGTGGATGTACTTTTATTTGCTATTCAATTGATTTTTATCTGTGAAACTGGCATCTAGTATCAAATGACTCCTGGAAGCTTCTATTTCAAGAGGGGGATTGAACAGTTTTCTTTCTCTCTGAGGACATAAAATCTGTACTGCCAAATAAAAATGGGATTAAACATATCACACCTAAGAGAATGGGAGGAAAGTCATAATTAGTTTAATGATAAAATATAAAAGGCAGAAGAAAACCGAGCAAAGCCTGAAATAAATGCATGATAGGACCACGTGGAGCAGGGAGCTAATGTGCTAAGAATGACCCAGGGAGACCAAGCTTAGGGTCGGTCATCTATAGGGAAGGAGGTGGGGAGCTGGAAGGGACCCGGAGGGCGAGACCACAGGCACCTGTCTCAGAAAGCGTCCTGATTCCCATCCATATTGCTGTAGAGCAGGGGTAGCCTGGGGTTTGGCCCTGTAGAATTTTGGAGGCATAGAAATAACTTTTTTCGTTTTGCAAACATAGTTTACTAAGGCGATTGGAAATAATATGGTTCAGTTAATCAGTGATGACTTTTTAATCATTTTCTTTTTCCAGCTTGATGGAGATATAATTGACATATAACACTGTGTGAGTTTAAGGTTTATGGTGTGTTGATTCGATACTTACATATTGCAATACGATTACCACCGTAGCATTAACTGACACCTCCATTACAACACATAATTACTATTTCTTTTCTGTGGTGAGAACATTTAAACTACCCTCTTAACAACTCTCAAGTGTATAATACAGTATTGTTAACTATAGTCATAATGCTGTGCATTAGATGCCCAGAAGTTATTTATCTTCTGTTTACAAAAAGTTTTTTTAAAAGCAGGGTCAATAACTCTCCTGAGTGGGGAAAATAGAGTTCCTGACAGTACCTCAAAACTAAAGCCATCTCTGTTTTGGCATCTGGAGGACCTCAGGCCAAAATCTACTCAACACTCAACACTCACCTAAAGCAGGTGCTCTGCCAGGGCAATGATACCTCTGTCAAATTTCTTTCCAGATAGAGAAATAGCAGAAAACCACCTCCATGCACGTGTGCGCGCGCGCGCGC